GAAGAGTGTGCATTTGCTCTGGTTTCAGTCAGAAGATCAAGAAAACACAGGCAGAAGGCAGAGCAGGTATCTTAAGAGTAACTGGTTCGGGGGGCATGAATTTACTTTAGCATCTGATATCATTAACATCTTGACAATGTCAGGTGCTAACATCTGAAGTGGCACCCTGCCTTGCTTCTGGCCTTGCTTCAGACTGACGTGGCTAACTCCCTGTCTCTACTCATGAAGACAACCCAGAATGGCAGTCTACCTCTTGATCCACAGGACTTCTGTGTTGTTGAACTATATTTGTGTTTGCTCTATTTTCAGATTCTTTGAATCCAGATGAAATGTGTCCCTTTACTCAGCTGAATAGTTTGCAAGTTGGGTAATTTGGCTTAAATACAAATGACCAATCTGGTCATGTGGTTCAGAATTGCATTTTTCAGCTCATTACTTCCTCTGCAAAAACTATTCATTTAAAACATTGTCTAAAAAAACCCCCCACTTTCTGAATGAGGTATGAAAAGATGATCTAGGAGGGTGACACTCTAGCAGCAAAGGCTACAACCATCCTTTCCTTCAGATGGAACCTAATGACCGTCTTTTAACACCCATCAAATGTATGGAGAAATTTTAGAAACCAGATGCCAAGCTGTTACTTTTGGGGTGCAGTTCTTCAGCTGTCATCTCTTCAGAGCTGGGTGCTTAATGGTGCTCTGTTCCTTTCTGTTGCATTTTATGAAATCCCATCCCACAAGTACACCGAATGGTTTCTTAATGATCGTTTCTCAAGTGCTTGCAACAGTGATATGAAGTGTCCCTTGCAAATGGAAGGGCCTGGAATTTTCACTAACATGAGGAGATGCCTCTTTTGAGAGATGCCAACATAATCTGTTCTGTAGGTTGTTTTTAATATAAAATAGGGTCATGGCTGGCTACTGGCTGGGCTAGACTCGGGGCAGATCTGTGGGGGGCTGCACTGGTACTCTTGGGATAGGTGGATTAATGCATGGACCAGCTGGGTACGAGTCCAGGGGCCCCTACCAATTTGGGGCCCCAGGATCCTCATCAGCAAGGAAGTGAAAGCGGGGTTATAAACTGGGTGCATGTGCACCGGCAGGGACTGCCATGCAGCGCCGTGCCTCTGCAGGCAGGTGGCAGCACTGGGGGGCTATAGCCCCACAAAATTCACCTTAGCCACCTGTCCCAGTGCTGCCACCTGCCTGCAGAGGTGTGGCACAGTGCTCCTGGCCTGAGTCAGCTCAGCCCCGTGCATGTGCATGGCTGCACGGACACAGCCAGGCAGCAGCTCCCTGTTGGTCAGTGCAATGGGGCCGGCAGGGAGCAAGACAGAGCCGTGGGTGACTTGTTGAGCGGGGAGGGCGCTGTCTCAGAGTAATTGAGCCTGGGGGAGGCCTGGGGGGGGAGTATGTGGCTGGGGGTGTGTGTGTGTGCTTGTGCATCTCTCTGGGTGTGTCTGCTTGTCTTGTGTGTGCGCACATCAGTGTGCATCTTCATCTGTCTGCATGTTTGCATCTCTGCATCTGTTTCTGTGTGTGTGCGCATGCATGTGTGCACACGTGTATGTGTATCTGCTTATTGCAAGGAGAGTGTTTGTGTCTGTGTCCATGTGCAGAGAATGAATGAGGGTAGAGTGTGTGCCTATCTGTGTGTGCGTGCCTGTGCGCGTGTGTACGTTTGGCCATAGCAGGGGGGGAGGGGTAGGGAGCAGGGAAAAGAGGGGGACGTGCCCCCTCCACCCCGAGCCCAGCAGGGTCCACCCACCCTCCCCTGCCAACACCAGAAGAGGAAGGAGCCCCTTCCCCACCTGCAGTCCAGCTCCCATGAGGGGAGGGGGGGCCTCCAATTTTGTTTGTCCAGGGCCCCAGTACACCGTAATCTGCCTCTGGCTCTTGCACCTCACTTTCATTCCAGCTTCACCCAAAGTTTAGAACCAACTGCCTAGCAGTGGCAGCAGCATTTCTGTTCAGGCAGCAGTAAGAGTCAATTGAATTCTCATGGCTTTATTAAAAGCTACTTGGTTCCTTCTGAAGTCTTCATTTCACAATTGTTAGTGACCCCCTCTTCTTTTTTAATGGTCTTGATGTTCCCCTAATCAAGCTAGCCTTTTTCTGCTATTCTGCTGTTTGTTAGCTGCTCCTGGTAATGTAGCTCCTATGTCACAATCCTGTTTTTTTAACTCATTCCAATTTTATATTGGTTTTTGCTTCAATTTTAAACTGAATAATATAGCCCTAGCATGCTAGCATATGATGTTTGTAAAGCTTCTTTCTACTTTCTTCTTTCTTCTTCTTTCTGCACCCCCTTTTCAAAATCCTAGATCTGCCCCTGGCTAGATTACAAGCGTTTGAAGCTCCCTGGATTCAGTTTCCTAAATTGTGGGTTTGTGGGGTAGGAATGAGGTGAGGAACTTCCAGAATCAAATTAACCAAGTAAACTTATGCCAGGAATTTTTTTCCAAGAGAAAAAGGATTAGCTTTAATATGCAACAGATCTTTTTAAAGAGCAGTAAAACACGTAAGCATAGTTCTGAAATATTACTATGCAGAAACTGGATTTCTAAGAACACTTTTTATGTATATTGGCAGTACTAATTTGTAGAGATAATTGAATGATTTGGTTGATGTACAAACAAGCTGCAGATAAAAGTAGGCAGCATAACAGACTTGATGAGCAAGCTATTGGAATTTGGGTGAAGTTTTCAAAAGTGCTTGCATCCTGTTGCCCTGAGCTCCTGTTTGTATCTGGCCCTTTTGAAAGCAGGAAATGGATTCCCAAGTGACTTCCACAATGTTTATTTGAACAATTGAATAGTCATTCATTATAACAGCTATCCATCATGTATTAACCCTTGGCAACAAGTGTATATGCACACTGTTTAGGTTAAATGTAGTCTGTATTTAGAAAAGCACCTTCAGTTGGCAAGTGCTTTACTAAGTGATGAGCTGTGAAAAGTACCGATCAAACATCCAATAGAGCTGGTAGGTCTCTTGTTCCTGTGCTTCTGTCCCTGCTTATGAAGTGGCTGCTGACCAGGAGGCACTCCTGAACATGTTATGGGAACGTGCTACAATAAGCAAATGGCCCCGTTGCTTTAAAAGGCCGCCTCCTGATTTGGGGGAGAGGGGGCTACCTTTAAGAAAACCTTGTGTGTATGCTAACAATCACTGAATTTGAGTATAACTCTGGGATGGACATGTTTAACTGGTACCTGTATGTGCTGAGCATGTGTCTTGCACTGAGTAGGACAGAAAAAGCATCTCTGACCTGGAAGTAGCAGCACGGTCTTAGGCCTAGAGCAGCAGCTGGCAACCTTTCAGTAACAGCAGGCTAAATTAACACAGCTCAGTGCTCCATGGACAGCCAGTAGATGGTGGATTCTTGCACAAATGTGCTTAGTGGGCAAGATAACATCTCTGCGGGCCAGGCTATAGGTTGCCAATGCTTTCAGCAGGCATGCCACAAATTGGCCCCATACCCTCCCTAAGTGCCATTCTGATCCACTTCCCCTGCCTGATCTGCTGCTCTGCTTTCTGCTGCCAGTCCTGTGCTCCCTAACTCCTCTGCTGCTCTGCTTTCTGTTTTATCTGCCACTGGCCTGCCTGGCCCTCCCCAGTCTGCCATGTGCTATACACAGAGGCTGCCTTTGCCAGTTGTTGCAGGTTGGCCCTGTAGGCCAGAGGAGTGGCATAGGGCTGGTCTGCAAGCTGGATTGGACACTGTGAGCCCAGTGCTGCCACTTCCTGCCCCAACACTGAGATTGGCCCTTGGAGCCCAGTGCCACCATCACTTGGTCCTCTGCACTGGAATTGGGTGCCTGATCCAGTGTGCAGGGCCCAGGGCTCCCTGTGGGTCTGGAAATCTGACAGCAGGGCAGCCGTGCCATCCATACTGAGGTGAATGTGGCACACAATAATTGTGGTGTGTTTAGGCTTGGCAGAACTCTATTTTTGTTGTTTTAATAATTTAGACGGCTGAAATCAATGCTTATGTTTAAGCCTTTGTTTTGATTTTTATTGAGTTAAATGTTCAGGATTGGGCGGAATTAGGGGCGTGGGCGGGGCAGACAGTTTAGTAATGACAGTAAGCTGTTAAACACTTTTTATAAAAAAAAAAAAATGCATGTCAAAATATAAAAAGTAAATATTCATAAATCAATATATCACACCTACTTTTAAACCATTCTCTTCATTCAGCAGGAGAGAGCCTGGTGGGCAGAGACCAGAAGAGGGCAGCAGCAATCCCAGAGCTCTGGGAACATGGGGAGAGGCTGTGGCTGCCCTCAGCCCCCATTGCTTAGCCAGTCCTGTCCAGGCAGGACCCTGCTGACACTGGGCTGGAGCCTCAAATGCCCCCTGCTCCTTCCCCTCCTCACCACCTTTGGGTAGGGGTTTAAGTAGCTTATCTCCCTCCAGCTTGCCTTCTCCCCACCTGTGAAGAGCAGCTAATTGCTTAATTTATGTGTCATTAGGCTGGGAATGAGTAGCCAATTGCCTTACTGACCAATATTTAGGCCACCCATTGTTTTCCCCTTTAGTCCCTCCATCTCTCTTTCTCCAGTGTCCAGTGACAGTCCCCTTTCTATAAATTTAGTTTATTCCAGTGGAAATATTTTTCAGTTGTGTGTGTGTGTGTGGTGAAATCAATGTTTATCAATTTTTTTAAAAGTTGAATCCTGCCAGGCCTGGTATGTCCCGACCATCAACATGCATCACATTGTCTACAGCCCCAGAGGATGGGATTGGAGACGAGCAAAGCCATTCCATAGTTGACTAGCGCGCTGCTTTTCTAGTCTATGGGCACCCTCTATGCAGCCGTCCTTCAGGAAAGGTTGTGAGAAGTAGATCTCGAAACGGCTTTAGCAGCGGCACCAACTAATCGGAGGTTGCTGGAAGCAAGTACCTGCAGTCCTAAGAGAATCTCTTCTCCCAGGAACCATGTGCGGTAACAAATGCCCAGCTCCTCCTCTGCGTTGTGCAAGCTGCTGCAGGTTTTGAAATTGGATGGAAGGAAGGGGAGGGTTGATGGAGCTGCCCAGAAAGCAGGGGGGTGCAGCGTCATAAAGAGATGAGGAAATGAAAACAGGAGTCTGTGTGACTAGTATAGATCCTGTCACGGCAGCTGCAGCACCCTACAGCCAACAGCATGGCCAAGCACACAGCCTGTGAGTAGGAGCTCTTTTCCCCTCTTGCTCATGTCCAGCCCTAGACTGTTGCTTGTTGTCAGAGGGAGTGGGTGGCAGGTATAACTTGGGCAAAGGGATGACTACTTTCCCTTCCCCCTATAAGAGTGGAGAATGGGGTGAGAATACTTCTGCATTTGGCTTCTGAGCCTGGAGCCCTGTTCAGAGGAGTCCTGCAGCTGCTGTCCTGGGAGAAGGGAAATGAGTCTGTGAGACTTACTTTGATTTAAAGCATCCTTAGACAGAGACCCATCCTCCCTGTAACAGAGGAGGTAGCCAGATAGCTTGGCTTCTGCTTGAGAGAGATGTGGTCACCCTATGACCTCACTTTCTTTCCACCAAATTTGAATCAAGTTCCACTTCCCCCATGTCCCTCCTGTAGCGGGACCCTTACGCCCAAGCTCTAGTCTAGGCCCTTGCACAGGATCCCCTGCTCCTTGTAGCTATGAAGGTGGCTCTTGCTTGTGTCCAGTCCTGTCCCTAGTCAGGTATCCCATAATGCATCAGCTTGGGGTGCTTCTGAATACGGGTATGAGGGAGGACCTTAAGTTGACTCTTAGCCTCTTAACTGTCACTACATCTTGCTGGCCAGTAGTCATGTGGCCTTTTGCTCTGCAGTGTTGCAGACTGAATAAGGGCTAGCTCCAGAAGTTGCTCTCCTTCCCTGTCTCAGTGGTCAAGTGCTGTGACAGTAGGGGCTAGAGTCTTCCAGGTGCCTATGAAGTTACCTGCCTAAGCTATTGTCACTTAAAGATCACACAACAGTCCTCCTCTGCTCTGGCTCTTGACCAAGTGACAACACAGTGCAGTGATCTGACTTTTCTCAGCTCATCTCTCTTCCCTCCCCACCCTGCTTTGCTTATCATTCTTTTCCTCTTCAGAGTGACTACACAGTACCATGTGGCAGATACAACATGTAGACAGTCTGCTGCTGAAATAGATCCCACACTTTGCCTTAGAAATGGCACCTAAAAGGACCCTCTTGTGATGAGCTTGGGGAGGGTCAAGAACAGGGGTCAAAGACCCAGTGGCTTGCAACATCTTTTCAGTCCCCTGTATGGGAAGGCAGACTTCTGGGAAGTGAGAGGGCTAGCAGGTGGTAAGCTCTTGAAAGAAATCTGGTGCTTAAACTAGAATCATGTCACATTCATCAGGTCAGGAGCTAAGTGACTACCCACGGGAAGTGACTCTCTCCACCCTGAGGCTCCGAGTGCTGCCTCCTACTATCTTGTGTGACACCTGGCTGGAAAGTCTAAATCTGGACCGCAACAAGCTGAAGCGCATCCCTGGGATCTCTCAGCTCTGCAACTTGAAGAAGTTGATATTGTCCAAGAATGATATTGTTGACTTCCCAAAGGAAATCCAGAGTCTGGTCCATCTGGAGAAGCTGGACCTGAATCAGAACCAAATTCGGGTCATCCCAGAGGGGATCTTTTCCTGTCTTCTTAAGCTGAAACACTTGCGGTTGAACAACAACCGTCTTAGTGACCTCCCCAAAGACCTAGCCGCTTGTCAGGGCAGCCTCCAGTATCTCAATCTCTCCAACAACTTGTTCCAAGACATCCCCCAGGCTGTCTTGGAACTGGCAAGTTTGCAGGACTTCTACATACAAAATAATATGCTGCACCAGCTGCCCGTTGGGCTGTTCACTGGGCGGCCACTGAGAATGTTCAAGGCAAATGGGAACCCTCTGAGGGAACCTCCTGGCGAAGTCTGTGCTGGGGGAATCCGCCAGATCCTGAGCTACTTCAGCCAGCTTCAGACATGCCAGGCACAAGAGGACCGGAGGGTGAAGACTATGTTCCTGGGGGCCTCGCTGGCAGGGAAATCCACCATCTGCAAAAGCCTGCAGCAGAGGCGAGCAGTCCCATTGTCTGAGGAAGAGCGGACCGTTGGGATTGAGATCAGTGAGTTCTGCATCCAGGACTTCACGTTTCTTTTCTGGGACTTTGCTGGCCAGCTGGAGTACTACATGACTCACCATGTCTTCATCACCCCCCAGGCCCTCGTCATCCTAGTCATTAACTTCCAGCAGTAAGCACTATATGATCTGCGTGTGTGTTTGGAGAGTTTGCAATCTAGACAGCTGAGGCCTGTGAAGGGTGGGAGGAAAAATCTGGACTGAGAGAGAGAGGAGGGGGGTTCATTCAAGGTCAGGCAGCAGGTCAATGGCAGAACTGCCAATGGTTCCCTGAGACCCAGGCCACGATCCATGTCTGTGAGACCTAGCTGCCTGCAGTGTGAATACCATCCTGCTGGGTGGATACGAGGCCTTTGGGTCTTATCCTAATATTTGAGCCTATCAGTGTGCAGGAATGAAACGTTTGGTGCAGAGCAATTTTCAGCTGGATGCGCCCAGTGCCAGGGGATTTAGAGGAAGGTGTTAATATGAAACCACTGTTCAGCATTTGCTGTATTGCCTTGTGTCTGCTCTACAGTACAGAATGTCTGCCCCAACACCAAGCTCAAAGTTTCAGGATAGGTCCATTGGGCTCAAAGCAGTACAGTGCGGGGATGCACAGACTGGCTCTGTACTTGTTGGGTCTAGAGCCAGAATCAGTTATGACAGCAGTACGGTACCCAAGTTAATTAGTTGACTTCTCTCCCAAGTGAGTTAGCCTGGGTGCAGGACTACATACATGTAACTATGTACACGTGGAATCTAGAGCTAGCTTGGTTATCTCTGCATGGTGTGCTGGCTCCACCACATGAACTGAGGGACTGACTGACCCTCTAGTCCCTCTGTTCAAGCTCTAGGGACTTGAGTTTGTTACTGTGGCAGGCCTATGATGACCCAGATGCATCTTGTTACCACCTCAGTTCCCACTGCCGGTGCCCAGAGTAACCAGCTGAGAGCCTAAGGTATGTGGATTTATTTTTTTTTCTTTCAGGTACCAGCTTAATGACAAAGTCTTCAAGGAGCTTGTTGGTTTCTGGATCAACAACCTCTTCATGCGAATCCCAAACTCAGTGGTCCTCCCAGTGGGAACTCATATAGACTGTTGTGATGAGGGGGAAGTGGAGGCAAAGAAGCAGGATGTCATGAACAGGATCCAGGCCATGCTGGAAGAGAGGAGGACAAATCTCATCCACTTCATCAACAATCTGGAAGACAGCGAAGAGTCAGAAATCTACGTGGACCAGTGGAACAGACTGAAGGAAACGGAGAGCCGCACCTTAACTGTAGGGAATGTGACTTATTATGGGTCATTGTAGGAGTGCAAGGGGCTGTGCAGACCAGAAGGAGATGCATCCCCCTGCTCCAAGGGGCTAGTAGGGCCCAGGAGCCACTAAGCATCATCCACAAAGGGGATGTCTAGCCAGCATCTGTGGCCCTCCTAGGGAGGGACACTCTCAAGCACACCTTACCTGCCTGTTCCCGCTCGCTTATCCCAAATCTGAAAGCAGGGCAGTGAAGCTACCCTGAGGACACTGCCCTTGGGACCCCCATCTCTGGTATGCTTGAGAGCAGCTGTAAGCAGATGCTCCTGCAGTGAGCTTCACCTCTGTGTTTCTGGGGTTGGCATGTGTCAGAAGGAGCAAGAGGGCGGGGTGTGCTCAAGAATATTCCTCCTGGAGGGTGCTAGGACATGGTTAGACCTTTCTTAGATTTCTGCTGGTGCCCTAATCTGCTTGACTGTGAGCCTTTCACCCTGGTACCCAAATGCTGTGGGAGGCACTTGCGTGGCAAGTTTCAAGGAGCCCTTTTTGATAGCTGGTGCATTTAAAAACAAACCAAGAAAAAGAAGGGATTTGGAAAGAAAAAGAAAATATTGAATCCTCCCCTCCCCCCACCACCCTCATCAAAATTTCTTAAAAACCCACAAACTTTTTCTCTGTTTGTCTTTACACGTGCATCTTTACACATGCTCCATGGTGTTGTGTGTGTGTGTGTGTGTGTGTGTGTGTGTGTGTGTGTGTCGGGGGGTGCGATTTTAATTGGAGCAGTTAAATCTAGGTAAAATCTGCGCCGCATCCCATGTGTTCAGTGTTCCATGCTTTGAAATGGCAGCAGGGGCACTTTATTAAAGTTCATTGAATGAGCTTTAGTTAAAGTGCCCTGCCACCATTTTGAAGCGCAGAGGTGCTGAATACACGTGATGTGGAGGCTGCTCTGACTAGTCGAGCACGTGGGAGCAGCCGTCCAGCACGTGTATCGGTGCCCTCTAGAATTCCCAGTGCTCCATGCAGCCCAGCTTAGTCAATTAAGTTGTCCTGCTTTGTTCCTGCTGAATGTCTTTCTTTTCCCTCCCACTAAGCTGTACCCAACAAGGGATGGGAGAGGAATCTTTGGAGCTGCTTCTATTCCTTCCTGCCTTCTGTTTGTTTTCCCTGTGCAATTAGGTCCCCCTGAAAATACTGCATGGGCTACTAACATAGCCACTATTACCATCATATCCCAGGCCTTTATGGTATCTGTGTTCACCTTCATAACTATTTGGGTAAGGAAGTGCTGTTAACCCATCCTACAGGTGAGGCACAGAAAGCTTGTGGCTTGCCTGAAATCCCTGAGGAAATCTATTCTGCAGCTGGCAGTTGAACCCAAGTGTCTTGAATATCATTAATACCCAGCCCCATTGGACAAGTCTTTCTGGCTGTGGTTGCCAGTTACTTAACAGCTTAGTTTCATTTGCCATTTGCATCTCTTTTTCATTTAGCCAAAAACGATCTGCTACTTGTAGGGCGGCCACTGATGCATCCCCAGAATACAGGACATCCCTTTGGTGGGAGGGGGACAGGGACACCAGTCCCCTCGGCTAATCAGCTGGGGGGGGGGGCACTGGGGCCTTGGCCAATCAACAGCAAGGGGCAGGACCACTACAAAACGCCACCTCCTTCCCTCCCTGGCTGGCTCTGAACCCTGCTCCTCCTGGCTGTGTACTGCTCTACCTCTAGGCACAGCCAATAGCATCATGAGGACAAATGATTAACATGTATTTCCACCAGTGAACTGAAAAACAAGACATTTTGCAGTCTGTTCCTCATTAAGAAACAGACAGGAAACATAGGGTTTAAAAACAGGATGGTCTGGTATAAAACAGGACCAATGGCCACCCTCACTACATGGGTTTGGTCAGCCACTAGCTAGGATCCTTTTTTTGTACATGTTATATGAGTAAACCGTCAAGGAAGCCTAATTTGCTGAACTGTAGACAGAGCATGCCTCGTATTATGCATGGCCTATGTTTTAGCTCTGGCTTTTGTACGTCTTCCCTGTGCAGTTTCTACTGCATTGTATTTTAATGCAATCCACAAACCCACATGGGAAAATCATATTTGTAATCCTTTTGTCCCTCGTAAAAATATCTTTTTATTTATCATTTTTAACATTGCCCATTGAAAAACTCTTTGCCAGTTTGCTACTAACAGCTGGTCAGTTTTCCCTGTTTACGTGGGTCTCAGCAATGAGAGAGAGAGAAACAAGGCGGGTGGAGGGAGGAAAGTGGACTGTAGAGCAGGGGTGGGCAAAATGTGGCCCAGGGGCTAGGTACAGCCTGCCAAGCCATTCTCTCTGGTCCGCAAGGCCCCTAAAAATTTAGTAAATTTAATATTAATCTGCCCTGGGCTGCCTGTCATGCAACCCTTGATGGCTTGCTGAAACTCAGTAAGCGGCCCTCTGCCCAAAATAATTACCCACCCCTGCTGTAGAGCCACAGTTACTGGCCAGAAGGTTGAAGTCACCCCTATAGCAGGTTTAGTGCCTGAAACTATTTAAATGCAAAAGGTCATGTGCCTTAAATATGAAGTGTGCTAGGTACAACCAAATCTCCCCTCTACGTCCGTACTTCTGAGTGCCCCATAGAAGCTACTTACACTAGAACTTTCTCTTTGCAGATTTTAGATCTTATTTCCGTCAATTGCACCGATTACCAGGACATTAAGAAACTAGAAGCCGCCATTCTGGGACATGTGCGGAATGAAGAAATATTCCCTAACGTTATCAGAATGCTGCCCCCGGTCTACAAGGAGGTGGAAGCTGCCATTGTTGATGTTGTGCAGAGCAAGGGGACAGCAGAACATGGTAACCATGCAGGAACAGTCCCTAGCTCCGACTCCCTTCCCTCACGTGCGAGGCCATGGACCCCTCATGACTCTAGGGGCACTGTGCTACAGCCAGTGCCTTATTGTCAAATCGTCCTTAGCATGGTGGTGCCTGGTAAACTTGGTGCTCCTTATTCCACTGGAAAGTAGTTTGCTATTGAAAGACTTAGCACAGCTGGGTGACCACACGTAGGAGCTGGGCAGCTGTGGTCTGAAGTACTTTAGGTGCAACGGGAACAGGGAATTCAGTGATCTAGAAACAAATCCTTTACTCTTGTAGGGCTGAGCACTACTATTTAACTGCTGGCCTAGTTGCTTGTCTTCCCTTTGTGCCCATTCTCAGCATATCTGGTGAGGGAGGCTGAGATTTTGGCGCAGGGACTAGAAGCATGGCTGCTTCCTTCCCACAATGTAGCAGCACTCTCCTTACCCGTGGCCATCCCAGCTATGTTCAGGTCAAGCATGGCCTGGATCAGCATAGACACAGGCATCCTGGAGCTAGTGAACTAAGAAAACTGTTAGCTTGATTTTCAGAGAGGTTCAGTGCTCCTAATTCCAATGTGAAGTCAACATGAGCTGCAGGAGCCTCGCACCATTGAGAACAAAAGCCATGTATAAGTATCAGAGACTGGAAAGGCAGATGGGATCTTGTGACTGATGTGCAGATTCTTACTATGCCTATTTCTATTTCCCTCACAGTTCCCAGACAGAGATGTAGGCATTCAGGCTAGAAAGACCATCTTGAATGCTCCAGGCTTTGTTTCCCTATTGTAAGTTTTCTTCCCGTGCCTGGTAGATCAACGAGGAATGCATTGGGTCAGATTATCAGCTCCTCCTGAACTTTTCTGGAAATAAATAGAATGGTTTTATTTTCATTGGAGTAGAAAAGATTGTTTGCCAGTGATCGTTGTCCATGCCACTGCTCAACCCTGGCTCCTGGGAATCTTGTGTTTGCAGTGCACAACCCAGTATGTAAGACTTGCTCTTGCAAATGCTTTTCATAAAAATGTGCACCTGCTTATGCGACTGTGGACTGCAGAGCTAGATTCATTATTTGAAGGTCTGTACTTCAGTAAGTGTTTAAAAGTGATGGCACATGCACCCCACCTGCTTCCACATGCCCAGTCCTACCTACCTACCAGTGTCTTAGCAAGGTAATAAGGACATGGAGCAAACCACTCTGCACTTCAGGCTTCCTATGTTCAGTTCCCCCAAGAGTAGCTCTTGACCTGGAGCAGGTTTTGCCCAAGTGCAGAATACAATTGGTAGTGATATACGATAGCCTTTTCAAGGCTCAAGAGATGACCAGCTGTTGCTTGCTGGCATTTGGGAGTTGTTTGATATGCTGTTCTAAGTTTCCATGTACCTGTTTTTTCCCCCTCAAGGCATGATGGATCTCAATCTCTTGCTCTGTGAACTTGCCCAGAGAAAGCACCTGACCGGCCTTGGCAGAGAACTTCTCCAAGATGTCCTGAGGTACCTCCACCACATTGGATTGATCATATGGTATGAGGAAATCAAGCAGATGGAAAACATGGTCTTCCTCCGGCCAGCCTTTCTGATAACCATGTTCAAGGTGAGCAGTGGGGATCAATGGGACTCTTCCTCCATGCCAGGCTGTTACTCTGAGAACTGGCCTTATGTGTTTTGCTGTATGCCGCTGTCCATGCACAAGGTCCTTATGGAGTGAAGAAACCTTGAGGATAATAATTTAACTTTCGAGATGCACCTTGTTGGTACGTCAACATTGTAGCCACTGCAGCTATTAAAGTACTAGTTTTAAACTAGCTAGTTTGGGTACCACCTGTAGCGTGTGGAGCTTGGTGTGGGCTGCAAAAACCCACTTCAGTATTTACTCATCTTTTTGGATGTGTTTTCAGCCTGTGCTGAGTTCTGTAGTGCTGTGGGCTACACTGCCAAGAAGTTGAGATCTATCTTGGGTGTAAGGTGAACTCTGACCTTCGGTGACTGCAGCATAGATACGTCTCAATTTACCTCAGAGGCTTGCCTCAGAAATCTTGCACCTATGCAGCATGTAAGCAGGCTGTCTCAAAGTGCTTAAAGGACTGTTTGCAAAGTGTGAGTCTCAGGTGGGAGAGGTCAGTACTATTCCCATTTTATGGATAGGAAAAGCAGAAGCAAAATTATTTTTCCAGGTTTGTGCTGCACCAGTGGCACAGCCAGGAATGAAATCCCAGTCTCCTGCTCTAAGCATTGTGAGGTGGACACCAGTCTACTAGGAATTAGGCTGAGAGTGCCAATGTCTCTTCATACAGCTAGGAGATATGAATAGCTTTCAGCCACTACTGATCTGGCTGGACAGCCATCTCTACAGCTTCTTGGAGCCATCTGATAAATGAACCTATGTATATCATAAGCTTAAATGAATTTCTAGGGCTAGGATCCCTTCTCCACTTTCTTTTAATACCCTGTGTATAACCTCAGTCCAACCTTGGTCAAGCCCTTGTTTCCATCTTACTAGTGCAGGCTTGGTAGATATGGCTCTGTTTCCTGAGAGAAGCTGGGTGTTGGCTGGGATGGAGGTAGTTGTGGGGAGGAGGGTGCCAGGAGGAAAGGATGGCCCAGTGTACAGGTTTCTGGTCTGAGACTTGGGGAGAGATGGATTCAATTCCTTACTTCTCCACAGATGCCTCGTTTGAGCTTGAGCAAGTTACTGTCTGTTCTGTCCCTCAGGTTCCCATGTGTAGAACTGGGATGAGAGTGCTTTCACCCGCCTCGTAGGGGTGGTGGAGATTTGTTTCCAAACTTCACCCAATTATGAATGAATCCACAGGGATGGGATGGGGGGTGCATAGAATTATGGAAGAGGCAATTATGTGCAAGCAGCAGCCGCTGTGATGGCCCAAGCACCAAGGAATTCATTTTTTTTCCATCCAGCTCCTTGTCAGGTATCACCTTGTGCAGCAGATAGAGAGCATCTCAGTGGACACACTGGTGGGGGAACATGCAACCATCAGGGACCAATCCAACTGGGTATGGACATTCAAGTCAAAAGCTATGCTGTGCCAGCAGGCCATGCGTGCCTTAGTCAAGCACCAGCTCCCCTTCGAAGGGCTGGAGGACATCTTTGAGGAGATGATGGGGCGCAAGTCCCAGAAAGGGAAGCTGTTCAGCCTCCTGGAGCACTTTGAGATTTGCCTGGAGGTGAGGAACACCGAGAAGCTCAACCCAGCAGCCAGGGAGTTTGTGCCTGGGAAGCCATGGGAAGTGACACAGAGCCACAGTGAGGCCTGTTACTTGTTTCCCATGTATCTCAACCACAGCAAGGATGTTTCTGATGTGTGGGGAGGAGATCATGCAGAAGATCTCCACCTACGGGCCTACTTCTCACCTGAAGTCCCAGAGAGCTTCTTCCAAAGGTAAGGAGTGGCTCTTCATGATGGACATGTGCCGTAGCCTGTCTGCCTATCCTGAAGTGCAAGTCCCTCAGGGCTATGGTCATGCCTTCTTGACTGTCTTGGAGGTATTGAATTAGCATGACTAAAAACAAAAGCCATTCACCATAACCGAAAGGAAGGTTGCTCTTGGAGTTAACACTAGACTGGCACTTGAGAGATTGGGGTTCACTTCCCAACTGTGCCACGAACTCTGGGCAACCCTAGATAAATTGTTTAGTCTCTGGGTGCCTCCATTTTCTGTCTGTAAAATGTCTGTTGTCTATTTGGGGTTGGTTTGTAGCCAGAACTCTACCTACTGAGCATGCTGGTATGTCTCAGCTGTGGGGTGTAGGTGCTGTTGTAACACGGGTGATCAGTAATGGGGAATGTGATCAATTCAGTAGCTCAGAGTCAGTTGCTATGATTCCTATTCATCACCGTGTAGGTAAATTGTTGCTTGTTTTGGGGACCTCTTGATGGCCTTACTTTTTCCTGAATCTATGCAATGCCTTTGGCCAGCCCGTGGGTATGGGGAGTTCTGTCATGGGATCCCAGTTTTCTGGAGCACAGGTCTCCCATCTTCCTACTTCTGCTAAGCTGGTTATTAATGCTCAGGAGAGCAAAGAAAAAAGCAACCATAGGGAAGTAGTATGGGATGAAATGCAATAAGCACATTAAATCCTTAGAGGCAGAAGCACGGTTAGGAACACTTTACTTCTAGCATGTTGACCCATATCTAGTCCATGTTGGTAGCAGCTATTACCTTCTTTCACATGAGTTCCCCCCTATCTTCCCCTCCCCCCAACACCTGCCCTCAGTTTACCTACATCAGAAGTTTTGACAAATTCCCAGTTTGTAGATGTGCCCATCATAAATCCCACCTCCATGGCTAGTGCTTTAAGAGCAGGCACAAGTACTAGCAGATGGTCACAGAGTGCTATGGGTTGAAGACTGGACTCCCCTTGCAACCAAAGGAGGTGCTTCCTTCCAGTCAGGGTTTGAGACTCAGTGGGGTGACGTTGGGATGCTTCCTTGCCTCTACCTGATCTGTGGTTAGAGGACTTGGGTGTCCTCAGAGGCTGAGCCTACACTTAAATGTCTTTTTAAGAAAAATTGAGTGCAATAGAGGCAAGTAGGATGCAAGAAGAAACCTGAAAGATGGGAGGATACTCTGGTAAACCTACTGGTAAACTTATTGCCTTTTACAAAGAGTTGTCATTGACTGAGTGATGTCCCTTGGAGAACCTGGTTCTCACAGGAGCCATCCTCTTGGCCCTGGTGGCTGTGATTTGCACATACAGCACAGCAAAACAACAAATCCAGAAGCTTAGCCAGCTGCCTAGTGCCTGCTTACAACAGAGGCTAGTGCTGACGGTTGTGGAGTCGTCAATGCAGGGAAATGCTGAGCTCCTGCACCACAGCGGTGTTTGTCCTCTGGAAGATTGCTCATCGCCAAACCTTTGTGGACAGAAAGATGCATCCCATTGTAAAATGAGGCTCCTCTTGTCAGGAGTGTCTTGGAGCTGGAATCTTCCCATTGTAAGATTCAGCCATCCAGTCAGGATATGGGATGGCTTGGTACTCTGAGGGATGTCTGATGGGCTGATAAATGTTCATTTGCTCTTAGAGCATTAGAGGGCTTGCAGTTGGGGGAAGCCAGCTCCTCCTCCTTCCCCAATCCAATAAATCAGTGGCAGAAATGATCCATTCCAAAGACTACCTGTGTGCATGACACAGATTAACAGCAAACAGGCACGTGTTGTCACCCTAGCTTTCAGGTGAGCAGTGTTGCCTCAAATGCATGAGAAGAGGAGGGAGAGAGACCTTAAGGTGCACGTGTGAATTTATAGTAGTAATATTGGGGTTTGTCCCTGAGATGGTTGGCTGCTTAATTTGTACTAAGCACCCAGGCTGGTCAATGCAGGGGGACAGCTTTTGGCTTCAGAAAGAGACTTATGATTGCTGGCTCTTCTTGGAAAGAGAATAATATGACAGACAAATACACCAGCTGTGTCCATAACCCATGCTAGGTCAGCCCTACATGAGTTTGCTACAGTTGTTGGCCATGGGACTCTGCCCTTGAGCTTACTCAATAAGAGCTTATACTTTTAATATGAAAGACCCTTAATTTTTTCTCCTGTGCTTAAGCAGGATTGGTGATTGTAGAATTTAAAATGGCTTCACGATACCAGAGATGAGGGGAGGGCAGTATGTGGCAGGGTCACCATCTACAGGCTAATGTCTCTTCATTTCCACTGCAGACTCATGGTGAAAGCTTGCTCCTTCTATTCCACCCACTGGGTTGCAAAGATGATGTGCCTGCTCGTGTGCAGCGGCAAGCCTTTGTTGATCAAAGAGAACAACCAGAAGGGCTACAGCTATATTGAACTCCGCTGCAGAAAGCCGGCAGAAAGGATAGGTAAGACCTGAAGCCTCGTTAATGCCTTCTCTGTTGAGCATGTTTCCTGGAAAGGAGGGAGGAGTTTCCATCTGCTGCTGATCAACTTAGGAAACCAGTCAGTGTGTTTGGATGTGTGAGGACTTCAGTGCATGAGCAGTACATCTGTAGCACAACCCCTATTTCCTGTCCCTAGAGTTAACCGAGGATGTGTGGTGCTACGCATGCTGAAGACCCTATGGAGGTCCCCACAACACAGGGAACAGTCTGCTTCCCCCAAGGCTGGTTTGAGCTGTTGAAGCAACTCTGTAATCTGGGGGAAAATCTCATTAATCAGACTTTCAGCTGAAAGGTTCATGCTCAATAGATCTTAATGAAATTGGGGTCCCAACAGATTTTTTTTTAATGAAAAAACTGTGGGCTCAGACAGAGTCCATCATAGAACTGGCTAAGATTGGTCAAAGTTTCAGTGAGAAAATGTTTTAGCTACTCTCAACAAGCCTGGCATAGGGACACCATAGAGTACTGTAGAATATATCCACACGCTATCCCCAGCACTGACCTGTGCACAGACATCTGCTTGCATGCACCTAACCTGGAAAGTGCCTTGGAGTGGTAGTGAAGCACCCCATGGTGGCTCACAAGCTTTGTGTCTGGCATACAAGAGTGCATCTGGTGGGGAGAGGGAGGAACAGCTCCTGGAAGGGAGTGGGTAAGCAGAGTGTGCTTGAGAGCAGCCTTCCTTGAAGAGTGGTGTAGACCTACCCTTAGTCCACAGCTGAGGCTCTTAGGTTCATCAACGCTACAAGTGATAACAAATAAGGAAGAGGCACAATGTAGACTTTGAAAACTTTTTGCTTTACCCAATTCAGTTCTTGCTTCTCAAGAAAGTTGGGCCTAAACCCAGTTGGCATAACTGTTTGCCTATAATCCTGCATGATCAAGCTGCAGTCAAGTTATTTCTATTCTTAGTCTTGGTCAGCTCCAGCTGGGTTACTGTGATGGTCACCAGCAGCTGGTTCTTCCCTCTTTGTTCATCCCCAAAGAATTCCAGATTACGTGGGACTTGGTCATGGCGATCGTCTCCATCATCCGGAAGCTCTCAGATGAGTGGCCTGGGCTCCACATATGCTTGAAAACACCTTGTCGCACTGCGGCGTGTCCTGCAGAGTTTGTTTGGCCGGACCTGGATGGCAAGTCCACGGTGTACGTACACTCTGTAACTTGATAAGTTTTGGTAACCCTGTCTCCCTTACAAAGTGGATGTGGGGATCCAAGAGCATGGCAAAAGGCAATGGTTTGTTTTTTTTAAAAACAGCAAATGAAACTGGTTATAAATATTCAGTTTGTTGATGATATGCCTTCTCACCTGAGTATCCCAAGACAAGTTATAAAGGTGAAAGTCCTTGCTCCATTTTGAGGCAGATCATAGCCAACTTTACAGGTGAAGGATGTTGGCCTTCACCCGTCTCAGATCATGTTGCCCAGGTTTTGATGCCTAACATTAGGTGTTAGCCTTCCCTTTCTAGAAACTCCTCAAGCCCCTCTATAGGCTTACTGGCTTCGCTGGGGAGCTCTGAGTACTTCTGAAAAGCTACACATTTTGCTTAGGTACCCAGCTATGGCTCATGGTTGGGATTTGTGAAAATCAGGGGTGACTTTGCTGGGAGTAGAAGGCAGCCCTTTGAAAAACAGCACCTTAAATATGGGTCTGTAAATGGCCTTCTTTAGGTGGCTTTGGTACATTCCCTCTTCTGTACTACCACCAGCTCATGTTTTGATACCATAAGAGGGAACGTGCAGAGGCTCATGTCAAACACTTGGTTTACAGGTATGCAACCTTTGTGTTAAGTGACTTGGCAGATGTCATTCAAGAGGTCCATGGCAGGGCTGGGAATGAATCCTGGGGCTTTCTGTTAGACACCCTAGTGCCAGCACATTGGTAATGTTTGCTCGTATAGGTTTTGTCTGTAATACTTCAAAAAGCACAATCTGGCAAAAAAACTTTGATTCCATAGTGAGTAGACTTTTCAAGGCTGGAAAGGTGTGTTGTGAGGTTTTGTCTACTGTAGTCTTTTATCTCTCTTCAAAGGACCAAGGAGAACATTAAAACTTGTGGAACATGTAGCCATCAGTTTCGGACAGAGCTGCTTTTACCCAAAGGTAAGATGCCAGCTGGCTGCAGCATCCTGCCAGAAAAGGAGAGAGAATGAACATATGAATGACTTCCTGCATGCCCCTGGGCACATCATTCACTCATCTCAGTGCTGCGTTGCCTCATCTGTTCATCAGGGATGCTAAGGCAAAGTTAGATCCAGTTGGGGTTTGAGATTTTTGGGGGCAGAGACCGTCGCACTGCTGGTCTCAGTTGGGGGCAAATAATGCTGATAAGCATATCCAAACTAGGACGTCAGAGCTGGGACATCTGAATTCTTACCCACTTCTGTCCCAATTCACATTAATCTCACCTGGTACAGATAGGCATGCATGTGAAGGCAGAAAGGGGTGGGTGACACGGTGCCCTCTAGCTCATCCCTAATGAAGAGGTTCCTTGTTTCAAGTGTTTGTTTCTAACAAAGCACACATTTTCCTAAGAATCTTTGGCAGCCATTCTCTGTTTGTAGATATCAACACTGGGCCCCCCTTGGCTTAACTGTGTCCCTGCTTAATCACTGATATGCTTTGGGGACAGATGCACAGCTGGGGTCAACAGTCATTGCTCCATCCAGGTGAAGGGAGTGCTGACAACTCATGCCAGCTACCATTCCGCCCCCATCCTGAGTGGCTTAGTATATTGGCCAAGTACATCCCTCCCCCACTTTATACTGGCAGTGGGTGAGGGATGTATGTAGGGAAATAGATTCCTCTGTGGCAGAATAACCATGGGGGTCTTTCAGCTTATGTACTGCTGGGGTAGACTGATACCTCTCTGTCTTCCCTTTCAGTTTTGAGTGATGTGGAAGCTCCCTCGGCTCAGCCTGCTGCCCACTACTATGTCACGAGCTACGGAACGACAACGTTTGGCCCCAGCAATGTCCACATCAGTCGCCAGGTAATGTGGCTGCAGTTTGGCCCTGCTCCCTGGCTTTTGGCTTCTGTTGTTTTCGTGCTGGGGGTAGCTACTTAACGCAACCTGATACAGCTCCTGGTGTATCCCCAGTGAATGGATGGTAGTTAAGGCCCTGGTCTAGGACTTGGATTCCTTGCATGACCTGAGACAAGTTGCTGAGACCTATATCACTTGAGGTGTTCAGACTCTTTATTGGGAGTTGGGCCTGTAATGGTCTTTACAAGACATCAGCCTTGGTCTCTGCTGAGTTCTCCGTCTGGAATATGGAGAGAATAGCACTTCTCTGCCTTCTAGGAACACTGAACTGGGTTAACACTTGTGATGCACTTGGATGACAAAGGATAGGCTAAGTTTTCCCATTGATTTTAATGGGAGTTAGGTCAGGTCATTAAATAGAAAAGTCCCTTTCTGCCTGGCCTTCCTTTCCCTGCCTAAGTTCTGTAAAATGCCCATTGTAGCCTGCTGGTCAAACACTCCAATACATGTTTTAAGCCTTGCGTAGACTGTTAAATTGGCCTAGCTTGGCCTGCATGGTACAGCCTGAAGAAATTAATTTGGGGTGCCAGCTGTCAATCATCTCTGCGGCCTCTCTATATTTATATAATCCTTCTTAATTTAAAGAATATACTCTGGCAGTCTTCTATATAAGTATCTCAGTGCTATTCCTAGATGCAAGCATCTTGATTAGGCTGAAAAAAATTAAGGGGAGAGTTGAGCACCTAAATTCTCTAGTGGGTTATGAAAATCTCACTCTTCATGTATCTAAAAGAGCCTTGAAGCCTGGGCTTTTTTAGATGCTTTTAAAAATAATGGTAGACCCATAAGTTTGTGCCCTTGGAAGCCAGTCCTCACAAACCCTCTCAGGAAGTCATCATCCCTCATGGGGAACCACTGGTGTGTGTGATGTGTTACTGGGGAATCATGCTCCAAGAACTTACTGCTGCACATAGATGCCTGTGACTTGGGTCTTGTCTACATCACAGAGTAGCTGGCATAGCTATGTTGTGGGGTGTGAAAGGATCATGCCCTGGAGTTGATGCATCTAGGCCAGCAAAGCTCCTGATTGTGGACACAGCTCTGACAGGAACCTGGTTCTTCCTCTTGGGGGAACTGGCGTGGCAACACCAGCTGAAAAATGCCTTGCATTGGTAGAGCTGCAGCAACGTGAGGGAGTGTGTCTGCCATAATATAAACATTGCCTCTGGTGGCGCTTGGAAATTGCTAAACCCTGGAGCAACAGTGTTCTACAAATGGTATTTTGGATGGCTGTGCTCCCAGCTTGCCCCTGCAGTAACCACAGCCCAGGGTGGTTAATGGAGGCTGGCACCACAACGCAATGCAGCACCTTTCTCCACCCTTGCTGTGGGGCTGGTGGTCTGACAACTTGGTGGCTCTTACTGCTCCAGAGCCCCACCCCACAGCTCACCTACCAGACCCAAATAGCCCTCAACTTTTGGGGCTTGTTAAGATTCAGGTCAGTGCTCTGCTGCTTATCTGCTTTTTTAGCCACTGAAGAAGCAACTGCAGTTACTTACTCTTTTTTTCTTATTTCAGAACATCTTGGATGAATAATTGAGCCAACCAAGGAAAGGCTGCATGGGAAGAAGACTGCCCTGTAGTCAAAGCCCGTGGTTCATTCGGGACCATGTCTCATGCACCTTGTTCTGCAAGATGTCTGCCTGTTTGCAGTGTATGTTAAAGCTGAATTTGCAATAAACACTTTCCACCCATAGCAGGATTGCAGACATGTCCATTTATTTACACAAACACATGGGAAAAATGCATGTTTAGTTATGCTGTCAACATGGCAGAAAAAGCAATGCTAAAATAATTCCTCCCTCCCCATCAGCAAATGACATACAGGAGAGGTTTGCTCTATGCAGAATAGATACAAGGTGGGAGAAAAAACCCGCAGGTATAAATTAAAACTATGTACAAAAGCTAGCACACCAAGTATGCTATATTGCAATGTTTCTCCCTCATTAGACATTACCAACAGGCTGTCAAATGTGTGATGCCTTCAGCATTGTACAATGGATCCAAAGCCCAGAGAGTCCCTTGAAATGGTTCATGCTGGACTTTGGATTGAGGCCATATTTCTTCAGTTGATTCCTGATGTTCACTATTGGTCGCCTCACAGAGAGGCGTGAGTTCCAGGTCTGCCAACTTGATGCTGGTCTTTTTTTCTCTTGAGACCCAATTCTGATGTCAGTTAACAACTGAGACTACTTGGACTCATGCAGAATCTGGACTAGGCTTTCAGTGACTATTAGCCACTTCCTGATTAACATCAAAGGCCACTTTCGTAGATAGTATAAGCCTCCCTTGATCTCAGTTGGGCCATGTCATTTGGAACCAGTTGAAGAAGGCCCTTTATTCAAGTGTATGGGAGAAAACAATAACTAAAACAAATTTATAAAAGTACAGTACCAACATTTGTATTTATAACAAAATATTGATTTGGCACCTCACGGTGTAGTGCAGATACTGAGCCAGGGGGTCCTATGGTCTTGCCACAGAAAAGCGCTTGTGCTTTTAGTGTCCTTGTATTTCCTACAGGCCCTGGCCCAGATCTTAATAGAGGTGTAACTCATACTCCAAATTGGGTAGAAAAAAGAAATTCCATCCGTTTAGGATATTGAAGGTGCTCAAGTAATTTAGGTGCTTTCTAACTAGATAGCTTACAAAGTGAATTTAGCTAAACAGACCCTGCTGCTTCACACTAAACCATGCTAGCATTTCATGCTGACAGCTAACAACCTATCCCCACTACAGACTAAAACACAGCAGTCTCTGCTGCACAGTGCATGTCCCTATAGATGATTGTCAACAACTATGTAGTTGGACTGAGATTTGAGAATCCCACAGCCCCTCTCTGTGCAAAAAATGAGTTTCTAAACTATGTTGGCAATAGGGAGACTGTTTTACAGCTCATCTCTGCAAATAAGGACAACATTGCTTTGGACCATAGTAGGAATTCTGCACCAGAGTAGAAGAGCTCCTCATGCTGGACTGATGCAAACATGGCTGTGCAATGTGGCCTGTATGGACAGGTTAACACTAATATGCATGGAGTCAAGGCAGGCTCTGCAATATAGCTAGGGCCTTTTGTTCAGATAGACATAAGCAAGTCTAGACCCCACAGTCACTGGTGTCCCTGTTCCAAATATGTTCTACAGCAATTTTTTCTGTTATCTACAGCCACTGCAACCTCCCAAGCCAAATTCAGAGGTCCTGGAATGTCATTGGCTGTCTCTCACTAAATCTCGCTAGATTATTAATAGAGTTACAACCCATCGGGGTGAAAACTGCCTGCAGCTTAGGGTAAGCAGTTATCTCCCAATGAAAGCAATGGCTGGGCTGCAGGGACTGGAAGGACCACATGGCTGTATCATGTCATGAAATAGGACATAATCAAAAAAACCCTGAAATGATCCATTAAACATTTGAGTCGTGAATACCTGCTCCTAGAAGATTCCTCAGCCCAGAGACAGAAGAGCTGCTGCTTTTCCAGAAGAGTTGATGCATGTGGCCAATGAGGTAAGAAGCTGCTGTCAACCTTGCCCAGCTCACCTGATCCTCTCCCGCTTTCCCCTGTAGCTGCCCCTTTCCATCTCCCCTTCCTACTTTTCAGGCAGGCAGCCCAATTTCCAAGGCACTTTGCAAGCTTTAAGGCTAATTGCTTTTCCATTTGTCATGGACTCTAAACGGATCAAATTCTCCCTCCACCCCAGGAGCTTTTTTGTATTCTTAACTGGAACAAGATGGGTAATAATAGCAGCAATTGGTGTAGAAATGGGATCCATTCCTAGCCAGCTGGAAAAAAAGCAGCTCTGGTGTCCCAGTCAGACAAGAGGAAGGCTGAGGCCAATAGCTCAGTGGCTGAGCTGAGACCTCTAGCCCATTAAGGAATGTACAGGAATGTAAAGGAAGGGACAGCACAGCTCTCAAGCCAGAGGCCTCTGACCATACAGATATGGATCCCTTAATTCAACCACTGAACAGAAACCCAGAAGCTATTCCTGCTGCCAGCCTGTTGCCTACCAACCTGCAAGGGCCAGGTTTGCCAGTTGTTTTGTCTGCCAGCTTGAACCCTCAAAAAGGCCTGCCTTCAAAGAGGCAGATATGCAACCTTTCTGGAAAATCAGTTGCCTCCAAAAGAGGCCCAAGCTGGCCCCCTCCTTCCCAGAAGGATCCCTCAGGAAAGCCCTGTATACCTTATGGTGCAATGCAAAGGCCTGTGTTAACAAAAGGAAGCGAAACAAAACCAAGACTTACTTGTACAACCTAAACAGTAAAGAGAACTTAAAAAGCTACATGGAGGCCTGTTTTATAAAAAAAAAAAAAAAATATGCTCTTCATTCTTGACATACTGCCAAAATGGGCAGCTGAAATCCTGACCTTATAGCCATAGATAGCAACCCCCACCCTCCCTCCAATTAAAAACAATAAGGTCAAGATTTCATTCATTATTTCAAGGTCTCTTGGTATGTAGTTTTGGGAAGACCTGCTTCCCCCCATTTCCAACCCCTCCCCCCCTTTTTAAAAATACACTTGGATCAACAAAGGATGTGATTTTTTTTTTCTAAAGGCTGGGCTAGAAAAATTAACAAAACGTGAGACTGACTCTCTTCTATTAAAAGAGAGCTGAAGTGATCAGGCTCCTTTAATGAGAAAAGAGGAAGCAAGACCTTAGTGAGCAATTGTGTCATAGTTACATACGCGTGACTATTCTACAGTGACTCAGCCCACTGATCTCAATTGCATCGTTAATTTATTACAGGACCTCACCTCATCTAGCCCATGTTTCCAGATGGGATCCTAAAGCCCCACACTAATAGCAGGGTGGTGGGGCAGAGTACTTTCAAATGTAGGCCGGTCATGCAGAGACCTGGGCATGGAATGAGAGCAGCTGTTACTCTCCCTGCAGAAGGCACTTTAGGATGAGAGGGGGCTTACTCGATTTGCATGCTGAATTGCTCAAGGAAGTCATACAGGCTGTTGAAAGAGGCGGACATTTGCAGGCTCAGGTTCCCACTGTTCAGGGATGAAGTGCCTTCTCTCAGCACCATCTCGTGGAGATTCTCGCAGAACTTAGGCACCAGCTGCAAAGAGACCCAACCCCCGACCCAAGATATGAAC